CACACACCCGGCCACGGCGTGTAATACACAGCTGCGCTCGCGGGGGCCCCCCACGGGGTCACACACTCCCACGCTGGGTCACATACAGCGTCACAAACAGTATCCACATCCACACACTCACACCGTGTCACCCCCTCATATGGGGTCACACAGGGTCAAACATTCAAACTCACAGGCAGTCACACACATGCTCACACTGGGTCCCACACCGGCACAGTGCCCGACAGCATCACACACTGTGACACACTCAAATAGTGCCACCATCATCCACATGGTGTCACACAGACACACATCTGTCACACACTGTTGCACAGTCACTCTCATGGGGTCACAAAGAGTGACTCACACATCATACCTGGCTTCACAATCACACAGTGTCACCCACTTTTACACACTCGAATTTGTCACATCCGTCACACACACATGGGGATCACACATGCTGCACTGTCACACACTCTTACATCACATAGAGGAGGTCACAAATAGCACCACAACAGTAACACCCACAGCCACACACTCAAGGGGGTCACAGTGTCACACATCCTTACATGACACATGCAGTGTCACACACTGTCACAGTCTAATACAGTCACACACTCCCGTATAACACATCTTACACATCCCACACCATAGCCCCCAACATCATGGATGCATACAGCATCACAGACTGACACACAGTGTCACCCACAGTGTCACCACAAGGTCACACAAGAACAGCGTCAATGCTTGCCAGACGTGGTGTCACAGTCTCACACTGTAACACGGTGTTACACACAGAGAATGGCACATGGTGTCACTCACAATCATGCTCTCCCTTGGGCTTACAGAGTCACACAGGGTCCCGCGGACACATAGACACGCAGTGACACAGTGTCCCATACACCTATATACCCACATTGCCCTCCCTCACTTTCCCCTTTGCAGCTTCCAGGAGGCCCTGGGCTTGGTGTCCCACGTTGGCCTCGGCGCTAGGAGAGGCGCCGTGAGCTGGGGGAGGCCGGTGGGCGCGGCCCGCGCTCGCCCCGCCCCGCCCTGGGTGCTGGAGCGCTGGAGTCCATCCGCGCCCTCCCTAGACCGGCAGATACGGCCACGCCTCCCAGTCCAAGCAGGGGCGGAGGGGGCGGGGCTGAACGGCAGGCGGAGGCGAGCTGCCTCCTGCCCCGCCCACCGCCCTCCTCCTGGCTGGAGGCGTGGCCAGCCTGGCCCCGCCCCTCGGCCTGAGCCCGGGCCCAGAGGCGGGCGGAGGCGAGGCCCTCTGAGCCGGCCCCGCCCCGTCCCTCCCACTTCGGAAGGACCGAGAGGGCAGCGCCGCAGCCAGTCTGTTCCCGCGCGTCCTGCGACTCCGTGGCCTCGCACCCCTTCGACCCCGCAGCATGTCCGTCAAGAAGATTGCGATCTTTGGCGCCACCGGCATGACCGGGCTCCCCACCCTGGCGCAGGCGATGGAAGCAGGCATGAGCTGGGGCAGGCGGGGGATGTCACGGGGTGCGCCGGCAGTGCTTTTTTAGGAAGGGGCATCGTGGGGCCGGACCGAGGCTGGTTGGAGCCATCAGTGCCTTGGTGTGTGAGGGGACAAAGCAGGCGGCCACGGGGGCAGACATTGGGGATGCTATGAGATCCGATTTTACTTGAGTCCAGGAATCGGAATTGGCCCTGGGAGCCTGGGGGTCTCCAGGGACAGGTTTAAATTCAGGGAGCTTATGAAATGCTGTTATTGTGGTGGTGGTGGTGGTGGTGGCGGTGGTGAGCACACCCTGCCAGGGCTTACTAAGCGGGCGTGGGCTCACCGCCAGCACCACCCTCTCTTCACAGGTGTTAAATCCTCAGGGCAATCATGTGGGCTGGGAACTAACTATATCGCCTCAGGTGACAGATGAGAAAAGCGAGGCCCAGAGAGTGAATGGCCCAATATCACACAGCTGGAAAGTGGCGGTGTGGGATTTGAACCCAGTCGATGCTTTAACCGCCAAAAGTCCACCGGCTCTTGGCGTGGGCACCAAGGCTGGAGGTTGAAAAGGCCGGAGGGCGGGTTGCTGTGAGCACCTAGTGGAAAGGGGAGCACGGAGACCTGGGTGAAGATGGGACACTGGTCCTGGGAAAGTCGATGGGGACTGAAACTTCGGAGTTACTGCAGGAAAGGGGATAAACTTTCCCTGCCCCCACTGTCCAGACTTCACCAACCCGCAGCAGGACATGAGACTTCCAGATAGAGGGCCCCACCCTTGCTGGCCTCCCTGACTCTGAAGATATTGACTATCTGGGTGCCCCCAAAGGGTGCAGGCTGCCAGGATCCCACTCTCTGCTGTGTCCTAGCCCAGCCCTGCCTTGGAGGGACTCTACTGGAAAGTTCCCCATTAGCCCACTCTTCTCCCCCTCCCCAGGAAGACCTAGTGAGGATCCTGACTTGTTGGAGGGGGAGAAACAAGTTTGCTGATAAGCATTTCTGGGGGAGGAAGTAAGAGGGAGAAGTTTCGAGGTGCTGAGTCATCCTGAGGAACCAGATTCCCACGTTACTACCTTTCCCTTAATCCGGAATAACACTGAATTTCACTCATCCACCCTGCTGGTCACAGCTGGGACTGCATCCCCTGGGGACTGAGAGCTGGGGCCCAGGGTAGGCCCTGCCTTCTCGCTGTGGCTCCCACAAGTCTCTTCACAGCTCTAAACCTTGCAGTCCCCATCAGAAAAAGGAAGGGCTTAAAGGAGCTGGGTATTTATTTACCTCAATCAACACTCCTTGGCCGAGTGAACTCAGTTTATAGCTGTGTGATCCTGGCCCAGTCACCTAAAATTGCCTCAGTTTCCCCATCCTCAAAATGGGCATTTTAATACCTACCTTGTAGGGCTGTTGCAATCTGGTGCTTTTCAAAGTGTGAGTCATAGTGAGTTCTAAAATATATTTAGTTGGTCACAACCGTATCAGAGTGTATCGCATGTTAAATATTGGTTTTATGAAACTTTTGTTTGAATTATGTATGCATGGGTTGTGTATACTGGGCTAGGCTGTGAAATCTACTTTGTATTGAGGGTTGAGATAAAAAAAAACCTTAAAAGGGGCATGATTTCTGCACCTTACTCTCAAATAGTTATGGAAAAAACATATATGTGTAATTATATGTGTATATGTATAGATATTTATATACAAGATATATAATTATGTATGTTATATATATTATATAGACACACAGAAGGATAAGGCAAAAGCAAATATGAAAATCTAGGTCTTGCAACTTTTCTATAGGTCTGAATTTATTTCAAAATAAGAAATTAAGGGAAAAATATAAGTAAAGTAAGGGATTTGAAAAAAAATTTGGAAATAGCTTACAAATGCTCTTGTTCTTTGTAAAGAGTAAAATCTGTGCATTCTAAAACTGTGCTGTTTGGTATGGTAGCCACTAGGTTATATTTAAATTTAAATCTAAATTTAAATGTGAATTGTGTTTAAAAAAATTAAAAAAAAAAAACCATACCATTCATCTATGGAAAGAGCTGCACACAGCCCTTGGCACATAGGAGGTTTTTGATAAATGTCTGTAATCACCAATAATGTGACCCTAATGGACACCCTTGTGCTGGGCCTGTGTCATACTCTCAAGGTCCGTGAGAACATGTTTCTCCAAAAAATACCCACAGTCTACTAGGGTCCATTTTAACCAGTGGCAGTTAACCAGTGCCCATATTGGCCCCGGAAAAGCCCCCTCCGCTCCCCAACGTATGTGAGGGCAGCACAGGTTTTGTGTTATTCCTTTATGAAAGGTGGTCACACAGGATGGGGATGCTGGGGATTTCGATCTTCACTTTAGAGAGGTGACTGAGGTCCAATCAGGGAAGGTGTTTCCTGAGGTTCCTCAGCCAGTAAGCGATGGAGCTGGGGTTTGACTCCAGGTCTGTGGGGCAGTAAAGCCTGTGCTTTTATGTTTATAAAAAGTCAGGGAGATGGTGGCGAATATGACAGTCTCTGGACCCGCAGGGCCTTTGGTTTTTTCCAGGTCAGCATAAGTAGGGCCATGACAGAGGCAGTGGCTGGGGGGGTAAAGGGTGCTCCAGGCAGAGGGGGAAGCACGTGCAAAGGCCAGGAGGCAGAAGAAGACAGCATGGTGCATTTGAAGAACTGAAAGAAATACAATGGGTGAAGAGGGCTGTGCTCCAGGACAGGCCGGAGAGGAGCAGAGGCCAGATTCCAAGGGGCCTTGAAGGCTGTCGTGAGGAGCGTGACTTTATCTCAGGGCACCGGGGGGTCACGGGAGGGATCTGTGCAGGGGGGCACTTTGCTTTAACTGTGGAAAGCTCTGTCTGGCTGTCCTGTGGAAAATGGATTGGAGGGGGTGAAATGGGCCAGGAGCCTGGAGAGGACTAGACCAGGCCAGGAAATAAAATAGTGAGATGATTAAAAAGTATAGTAACAGCCAACACCCATGTAACACTACTGTGCCAGACCCTCCCCTACACTTTTCCTTTGTCTGTTTTAGTTTTAGTTTTGCATTTTTTAATAGCAGCTTCATTAAGCTTTATCTGTTAAGATGTAATTCACAAACCATACAATTCACTCATTTAAAGTATACGATTTGGTGGCTTTTAGCATATTCACAGAGTTGTGCAGACATCATCACAATTTAGAACATTTTCATCACCCCAAAAAGAAACCCCTAGAAATCACTCCCCATTTTCCCGCTCAACCCCTTCCCTGGCCCTAGGCAACCACTCATCTACTTTTTGTTTGTATAGATTTGCATATATTTGCATACATTTGTCTGTTCTGGACAAATTCTATAAATGGAATCACACACTATGTGGTTCTTTGTGACTGGCTTCTGTCACTTAGCAAAAACATTTTTTTCAAGGTTCATCCATGTTGTAGCAGGGATCGGTATGTCATTTCTTTTTATTGTTGAATACTGTTATATTGTATGGATATACCACATTGTATGTATCCATTCAATTGATGGAAATATGGGTTGTTTCCACTTTTTGGCTATTATGAATAATGCCTTTATGAATATTCGTGTACAAGTTTTTGTGTGAACATATGTTTTCATTTCTCTTGGGCATATCCCTAGGAGTGGAATTGCTGGGTTATATGGTAACTCTGTGTTTAACTTTCTGAGGAACTGCCAGACTGTTTTCCAAAGCAGCCACATTGTTCAGCATTCCCATCAGCAGTGTCTGAGGGTTTCAGTATGCCCACATGCACACCAAGTTTATTGTCTTTCTTTTTTTTTTCATTTTTAATTAATTAATTTTTTTATTGTGGTAACATTGGTTTGTAACATTGTATAAATTTCAGGCATACATCATTATACTTCTATTACTGCATAGATCTTTCTTTTTGATTATAGCCATCCTAGTGGCTGTGAAGTGGTATCTCATTGTGGTTTTGATTTGCACTTCCCCGATGGCTAATGATATTGAGCATCTTTTCATGTGTTTATTGGCCATTTGTATGGAGAAATGTCTATTCAGATCTTTTGCCCAGTTTTTAATTGGGTTGTTCATCTTTTTATTATTGAGTTGTAGGAGTTCTTTATATATTCCAAATACAAGTCCCTTATCGGATATATGATTTGCAAAAATTTCCTCCCATTCTGTGGGTCGTCTTTTCACTTTCTTGATGGTGTCCTTGAAGCACAAAAGTTTTTAATTTTCATAATGTCCAATGTATCTATTTTTTCTTTTTTTGCTTGTGCTTTTGGTGTCATAGCTAAGAAACCACTGCCTAATTCAAAGTCACAAAGATTTATGTGTATATTTTCTTCTAAGATTTTTATAGTTTTAGCTCTTACATTTACATCTTTGATCATTTTGAGTTAATTTTCATATATGGTGTGAGGTAGGGATCCGACTTCATTCCTTTACATATGGATACCCAGTTGTCCCAGCACCATTTGTAGAAAAGGCTATTCTTTCCCCATTGAATTGTCTTGGCACTCTTGTCAAAAATCAACTGACTGCATTAAACCTTTAGATGTATTATTTAAACCCATAACAATCCTATAAGGTAGAGACTATTATTAGTGTCACTTACAAATGAAGGCCCTAAGGCCCAGAGAGGTTAAGTGACTTGCCCAATATCATACAGCTGGCTAGTGGTAGGGCTGGAATTCAAACCCAGAGTTACTTTGAGAATTAAATGAGTTAATGTGTGTAAGGCACTTGGTACCTGGCACATAGTGAGTTCTATAAATATTTATCATTGTTATCATCATCATTTCCCCAGAGTGTACAAATCTCCCATTATTGACTTTTGAAATATATGATGACAGCTATCAAGAGAATTGGAACAATTTTATTGTTTTTCCTTTTCCTTTATCATTTTCAGAGTGATGGATTAATCCTCTGATAGCTACCAATGATGACCAATGAGGTTTCTTTGTTAGTATCATTATGAACTCACAGATTTTTTGTGTTTGATAGGTTTCAGTACTTTGCCATCAGTATTCTTTTGGGTAAATCATATTGTCCCTGATACGTCCTAGTGACAACACTTCAAGTGGCTTCTGTGTCCTTTCGACATGGCCCCATCATGCTTGAAGCACTGCCTTACCAGCTGGCAGGTCAAGATGTTCCAGGCTTGTCTTGTCCTTCCCTGCCCCAGCCCAAGAATCAGCCATTTCTCCAAGGAGCTCTGGTTCATTTCTCGTGAGAATGATATTTCAAGTCTGCCTTAGATAGCTTGGGCTGCTATAATAAAACACCATAGACTAGATGGTGTTAAACAACAAGACATATATTTCTCACCATTCTGGAGGCTGGAAGTCCAAGATCAAGGTACCAACAGATTTGGTTTCTGGCAAGGGCCCTCTTCCTGGCCTGCAGATGGCCATCTTCTCACATGGTGGAGCAAGGGAAACTAGAGGTCTTCTTATAAGGACACTAATCCCATCAAGGGGCCCCATCCTCATGACCTCATCTAAACCTAATTACCTCCCAAAGGCCCCACCCCCAAGTACCATCACATTGGGGGTTAGGGCTTAGACATATGTATTTTGGGGGGGACACAACATTCAGTCCATAATGGAGACCACAATGAATAATTTATCTTTTTAATATCACTATTTGGAATACACCCTTTGCCGCTATTTAAAACAAGGGAAGAAGTAGATTAGTTGTGAACTTTAAAATGGGTGTGCACATGTGGGTGCTGGGAGAGAGAGTTATCCAAAATTCTTTTGGAAGGGGACATACCGAGGCGATGTTCAAAATCTTTAATGACCGTTAAGGCAGAGTGTGGCACTTCAGAAGTAAGGCTGGGGGCAGGGCCCGGGCCCTGTGCCAGCACCGGGCAACCTTTGGGCAACTCATGCCCTCCTCTGTACCTCAGTTTCCTCCAGGACCATGGAGCGGGGCATAGGCCCATGCGATGCCAAGAATTAACCCTTCAGTTGCTGGAGGGTGCAGAAGTCTTAGGGAGGACCTTGGAGGCCTCAATGCAGGTTATATATGAACCAGCATGAAGGTATCGCCCTATTTTAACAACCAGCTGAATGTCAGCTGTGGGTAGGCCAGCAAAGATGTGTGAAGACCACTGCCCCAGAATAGGAGACCTGGGGGGTGGATTTGGGGGTTTGTGGCACTCTCCAGGACCCAGGCCCTGGAGCCCAGGAGTGCGGGTCCCCGTGCCCGCTGACCTGCCTCTCTGCCCCTTTGCCCGCAGGTTATGAAGTGACAGTGCTGGTGCGGGACGCCTCCAGGCTGCCCTCGGAGGGGCCCCAGCCAGCCCACGTGGTTGTGGGCGACGTCCGGCAGGCGGCCGATGTGGACAAGACGGTGGCTGGGCAGGATGCTGTCATCGTGCTTCTGGGCACCCGCAATGACCTCAGTACTGGGCCCCCCCTCTGCCCACGGCCCCCTCCTGCACCTCGACCCCCAGCACCACCCCCGCCCCCGGCCCCGCCCCTGCCACCCCCGCCGCCACCGCCACCCGCCAGTGACAGCCGCTCTCTGTCCCCTCTAAGGTCCTACCACAGTGATGTCCGAGGGCGCCCGGAATATTGTGGCGGCCATGAAGGCCCACGGCGTGGACAAGGTCGTGGCCTGCACCTCGGGTGGGTGGCGGGGTCACAGCAGTGGGGCTGAAGGATGGGGGGTGACTACTGGACAGGCAGCCCAGAGGCCTCTGCAAGGTGGCTGTGGAGCCATCCCAAGTTACTGTGCATTTATTGAGTACCAGTTGTGTGCCTGAACCTTGCTGGATGATGCCGGGGACACAGTGGTGACCAATACAGCCCTGGACCCTGCACTCATGGGTCTCATAGATGGGAGGGAAGTGGTAAACAGAACCATCATCAGACTGTGACAGGCCAGAGTAGTCAGGGCCGGGATGCAGGGGGCACAGGCAGAGGGGTCAGGGCTGGGATGAGGGAAGCTTAGAGGACTGTGGGAGCCCAGAGGAGGCACCTGACCCAGCCTGAGAAGAAGTCAGGGAAAGCTTCCTGGAGGAAGTGACAGGGCTGTGGGTACACAGACCAGGTCTCTACCCTCACAGAACTCCCAATAAAGGGATATGGACATTAAACAAATAGATGCCCTGAGTAATCCAAAAGAAAGGCTACAGGGTGCATAACAAGAGCAGTTAATGCTAACAGCATTTATTGAGCACTTACTGTATGCTAGGCACCATCTGAACGCCTTAGGGATGGACGCCACTTAATCCTCACAGAACTCCTTTGAGTACTCAAACTTGTGGACACACAGAGTAGGTGCTCAGTAAAATAGTAGCTATAGTAGTAGTGGAGGCACAGGGAGGCCCACTGGCTCACCGAGTTCACACAGCTCATGGTGGCAGCTGATGTGGGAAACCAGACTGTCTGTCTCCACGGTCCAAACTCCTTCCCTCTGTGTTTCATCACGTCACTTGCCTCCCTGGGAAGGGAAGTGACCCCAGGAGGGCTGCGTGGTGAGAGTAACGGGACTCCAGGCAGAGGGACCAGCAGCTGTGAAGGCTCTGAGGCAGGAGTGTGGTTGGGGCAGAGCGAGTGAAGGGGAGAGTGTTGGGCGGTGAGGTCAGAGGGCTGGTAGGGCCAGATCAGGCGGGGCCTCAAGGGCCCTGGTGGGGACTTTGTTTTTACACTGTGAGTGAGATGGAGCCACGGATGAGGTCTGTCCCCTCAGGGGGTTCACAGGCCCCCTCTGGCTGCATGTGGACAGATTGTGAGGGCAGGGGCAGGAAGACCAGGGAGGAGGCTGCTGCCACAGTCCGGGCAGGAGGTAACAGTGGATGGGAGCCGGTGGGGTGGGAGGCGGTCAGCTCTTACGTGAGCTGTGAGAACAGGACAGGAGGCCGGGCCACCTCCCATGTTTCGTCTGGAGCACCTGGAAGGCAGTGGTGAGCCCCTGCACGGTGTTGTCCTGGCACACGACTGGTGGCTGGGGGCCTGGTCACGCTGTCCTCAAGCCTTGGCTGACCCTGCCCTGTGTCCCCCCAGCCTTCCTACTATGGGACCCAGCCAAGGTGCCCGCACAGCTGCGGGATGTGACCGATGACCACATCCGGATGCACAAGGTGCTGAAGGAGTCGGGCCTGAAGTACGTGGCCGTGATGCCGCCACACATAGGTGAGTGGGGCTGGGACCCGGCGGCAGGGGCGCCACCAGCCTGCTCCCTCCTGTCCTCTGCGGAGGCCCGCCAGGCCCTCCCTGGCCAGTCTAAAATGGCAAACCTTCCCCCTGCACTTTCTATCCTTCTTCGTGCTTGATTTATCTCCTCTCTAACATACTTTTCAGTGATCTCTGTTGAACAAGCCACCCCAAATTTAGAACTGCAGAGCAACAAGCCTCATTTATTATGACTGTCCCTCTCAGTACCAGGAGCTGACTAGGCTCAGCGGGCAGGTCTTGCTGGGGTCTCGCATGCGGTTGCTCAGGAGTTGGGGATGGAGCGTGTGGAAGGAAGGCTTCCTCACGGGTGTGTGTGGGGGATGCGGACTATCACTGGCACACCTGCACGCTGCCTCCCTGAGCCTCACATCTCAGGGCTCCTTCCCCTGCCCTCTGTTCATTAGAAGCGAGTGACCAGGGCTGGCCCATGTTCAAGGGAACGTGGGTGACGCTTCACCACACATATCAGATATTTTCTTTATCTTATGTAGTGTGTGTCTCCGTCACTAGAAGGTCAGCTCTTTGAAGGCACGGATTTAGTCTTGTTTTGATCACGACTGTATTCCCAGTGCCTAGAACAGGGCTTGGCACATAGTGGGTGCCAGGAAATATTTGGCGGATGAACTAATGCAGGGGAACCACGCCTCCTGGTGGTGTTGTGGAGGAAACCAGCGAACTACACCTACAGCCGCCCTTGCCCTCCCAGGTCTGGAATCCACGCTGAGAGAGACAGAGGCAAACGTAGGGAGAGGGTCATTCAACAAACGTCTCTTGCGTATGAACTGTGTGCCTGATAAGATGGCCTCTGCTCTCATCAGGCTTATATATCCAGCAGTGGAGACATTTGCCTGCCCACCGGAAGAACAGTTCTGCTTTGCTCTCTGCCTTCCGGGGCCCCTGACAGGAGGAGGCCGACACACCTGAAGGTTCAGATAAGGTTCAATGGTTAGCTTCAGTTAAAGGGGGCGTGTCAGGACCCTATTTGAACCAGAGTCCTGAACTTCTCCTGGTAGAGAAGCTGAGTGAAAATCCCAGGCCCAGCACTGTGGACTTGAGGCCGCTGAGCCTCAGTTTCCCCATCTGTAAACAGGGCTCCGAGTATCACTTTTTGACCTCTCAGGTTTGAAGTGAACACCCAGAGAGATCATGCCTAACAATTATTCGACAGAGTACTTGTTGTTGTATTGTATGTGTTTTGTGAAAACTTGGAAACTTCCAGAAAAGTTGAGGGAATTAAAGGTTTATGAAGAATACCTATAAACCCTTCATCTAGGGTCACTTGTTAACATTTTGCCCTGCTTTCTTTCTTTCTCTATCTATCTATCTATTTATCTATCTATCTATCTATCATCCACGCACACATCTAATGTGCATGTGTCTGTATGTGAATACATATGTAGTATATATATATTTATTTTTATAGTGTATATATATATATATTTTTCTAAACCATTGGAGAGTAAGTTATAGAAATCATCACACTTCACTCCTAAAACCTCAATAGCATCTTCCAAGAAGAAAAATATTTGTGTATAAATCACAGTACCATTATTGCACCAAAGAAATTGCCACTAACTCTGTCACATCACTTAGTATCCACGCCATATGCAAATTTCCCTAATTGTCAAAAAATATCCTTCTACCTCCCTCTCCCCTCCAAATCAGGATCAAGTCGAGGATCATGTGTTGCATTTAGTTGCCATGTCACTTTTAATCTGGAACAATCTCCCATATCTTTGTTGTTGTTTTTTTTTAATATTTCTCATAACATTAACCAGGCCAGGTGTCTTTCTAAATGTCTCACATTCTGGTTTTTTCTGGTTGTTTTCTCAGAGACTCAGATTAAACATTTTTGGCAGGAAGGCCACGTGGGTGAGGGTGTGTGTTTCTCACTGGCACGTGACTCCAGGTTGTCCCTGTGCTGGTCTGCTGCATGTGATCCCTAAATTAAGTTGGTCACTGTCAGATACTATTTTTAATTATCATAATGCAGCCACTAGATGCCCTTGTAATAGCCAGGTCATGCCTGAATGCTCTCCCCACTGTCTAAGAAAGACCTAGTGGTATCCCCAGCATCAGGACACACCAATTCCTTGTTCACAGGTCAGAAAAATGTGTTCACTCTTACACTGCTTATAAAATGCAGACCCACCGGGGGACATGTCACTCAGTCCTCCCAGGGGGGTCCAGAGAAAGGAAGGCATCCAGATGGAGGGACCCAGAGCAAATCTAGCCTTTGCCACTGAGAAGTGGCCCTTTGCAACCCTGGGAAGTGACTTCCTCTCTCCGAGACTCAGTTTACCCATTTGTAAAACAGAGTTAATAATAGTTCCGAGCCCATTCTCTGCTTTATTTCTCTCCATCTAACATAGCGTCTATTTTACTTTCTTATCTTATTAGTTGCCTCATTCTAGTGAATGCCTGCATGCTGAAGACAGGGGTTCTTGTTGGTTTTTCCCATGCTGGGTGCCCAGCACCTGACACATGATGGGTAATCAACAAGGATTTGTCAAATGAATGAAGTAAAGGGTATAGATTAGTGTCCTGCCCATGGGAGGGCTTTCATCCATTGTCGGCTCGCCTGCCATCTGGGCTGGGCACACAGGAGGCACCCTGGGATGGTCACTGGAGTGATCACGTGTTGGGGGAGGGAGGAAGGGCGTCTGCTACACCCTGCCCCTCTGTCTGCCTAGCCGGAGACAAGCCGCTGACTGGGGCCTACACAGTGACCCTGGATGGACGAGGGCCCTCGAGAGTCATCTCCAAACACGACCTGGGCAACTTCATGCTGCGCTGCCTCACCACCGATGAGTATGACGGCCACAGCACCTACCCCTCCCACCAGTATGATTAGGGCGCCGGCCCACCCAGGAAGACAGCATCCTTGGAAATGGAGAACAAAGGAAAGGAGCAATAAATCTTGAACCAAGAGCTTCCAATTATTCCTGAAGATCCAACCCTGGGACTCTTCCTCTCTGGCTTTGTCTGGATGTCTTAGTGGCTCTGTGTAGGATTTTCTGGGTATTCATTTATTTCCTCAGTCACAGTTTGTTGAGTCACTGTGCTGTGCTCTGCCCTGTGCTGGGGACCCAGGGGTCACTGTGAGGACCCAGTGGTGACCCTGCCTTCACAGGTGTCACAGTCCAGTGGGGAAGACAGCCGTGCCTCTGACAGTGACAACTCTGATGGCCAGGGCTCTGAGCGAGGGCTGAGGGAGCCCCAAGGGGGCACCTGACCCAGCTTGAGGAGCTAGACAAGGGTCTGCGGAAGAGGGGATGGCCCACCTGAAACCAGGTTTGGTAAGAATGAGCCAGGAGAAGGTTCTAAGGCATGATGGCTTTCTGGGCAGAAGGAACCACATGCGCCAAGGCCAGGAGGTTGGAAAGCATGTGGCCCTTTTGAGGAACTAAAATCCATCCCCTACAGTTAATAAGACTTTTCTCGGAGGTGAGGAGTGGTCAGACCCAAGAGGCTGTTCCATGGATGCTAAATTGTGCGGAGTCAAAAGTTTGAGCTTTAGTCTGAGGTTTTACCCAAGGAATGGAGCAGGGGAGAGGTGGGGAGGTGGCACGGTCAGGTTTGTGTTTTAGAAAGCTTTCTTTGGCCACTGTGTGAAGGTGGATGGGAAGGGGCAAGAGTGGAGGCTGGGAGCCCTGGGGACCAAGGCAGAGGCCTTGAGGAGGGGAAGGGAGAGTGGGTGGGAGCCTGATGGTCCATGGGGGAGGGGAAGGAGGCATCCAGAAAGAAGCATAGGGCTGTAACCTGGGGACGGGGGAAAGCTCCCTGAGAAAGGGACCCTAGAGGAGGGACAGGCTTGGGAGGGGGAAAGGGCAGAATTGCCCCTTCCTAATCACGCCCTGCCTCTGTTCCCCAGAGACACTTTTCCCAGACCTGCCGTGAGCTACTCCTGTCTCCCTACATCCAGCCACCCCCACCTACCCCCCAACACCTTCTCCCCTCCCCCTCCCCAAAATCCATCCCAACCCTACACTGCTCTGCAAACAGCAGGATGACTTGGTTGACAAATTCCAACCAGTGAGAACTGGTCTGAGGAGCCTTAAACCTCCAGTCCCAGGGGTAGCCTGGAGAAAACCGCCTCCCCCTCCCCTTAGTGAAAACTTGATGGGGGTGGGGCACTACTGGTTTAGGCTTCTAGGACACACGCGCTGTTTCATTTCTGCCCTCTCTCTTTCTGTCACACTCTGGACGTTGAACAGACTTTCACTGAGCGCCTGCTTTATGTCCAGTCTTGTGTTAGGTGATGCTGCGGACCAAGCAGTGGGTGGCTATGATAACCTTGGTACTTGTCCTCAGGGTGCCCACAGTCCAGATAGTGACAGCCCAGGGCTAGGATGGGGGAGGCACGGGCAGAAGGGTCAGGGCCGCGATGAGGAAAGCACAGGACACCCTGGGAGCCCAGAATGGGTCCTTAACCCACCCTAGAGCAGGGAGGGCTTCCGGGAGGAGGCAATCTTTGAGATGAGTTCTGATGAGAGGCAGCCTAGGAATTGAGGGGATATTTTCAGGACTAGGAAACAAGTTTAAAGACCTAGAGGCCTTTTATTCTCATTTTTGAGTACTTGCTATGGACCTGGCATTGTTGTAGGCCCTGGGGATAAGGCAGAGAAGAAAACAGAAAATCTCCGTGGTCATGGTGGTGGAGGGCACTTGAAGCCATTTTAGAAAAACTGAAAGTGAATCGGTGTGGCTGGATCGTAGGGAGTAAGGAGGAGTGTGCGTCAGGCCAGACCGTGAAGGGCTTTGCAGCAAAAGTAAGGAGTTTGGACTTCGTCCCCAGGGCAGTGGGAGCCATGAATGAGTTTCCAGCAGCGGAGGTGTCATCCTGAAAGAGGAAGGATAGGGTGTCAGGACGATGCAGGAGGGACCACGAGAAGACGGGCTGAGAAGTCCTGATGATTAAGAAGGGCGCCGCGGAAGGAAGAGTCAGCAATTCTTGGAAAGATGTTCTGAAGCTCCTTGCTAAAGACTGTTGCTTTTGATTTTCCAGTGATGGATGAAGGCCAGGACAAGATGGTCACTAGGGTCACTTTGGGACACAAGAGTCACCATTGTTTCCCTGGTGGCTGGGAATTGAGCCTACAATTGAGCAGGTTCATCCTAGCTGTGAATCCACTGAGACTGAGCTGGAAAACCAGAAATATGAGGTCAGCCCTGACTCAATGCTTCTCAGCTGGTGGAACCCCAGCCTCACCATTCTAAACAACCGCCTCTAAAGCACATTTCTATTTAAACTTAGATCTAAGCGCAATAGAGTGGTTCAAAACGCCTTCATGGGACACAAGGAAACTGCTCTAGAACTTGAGTTCAGATTTTTGTTGTCTTATTTTTAGGAGACCTGGCCAGCTATAGTGTTGATCCCAATAGTGATCTGAATTTAAAATAAGGAAAATAAACAAACCACGGCAATAAGATATATTTTCTATTGGTACATATATATGCACATAAATGCTTAGAAAAAGGTCTGGAAGGAAGACTTCAAACCCAACAAAGAGTGCTACCCGTGGGAAAGGGGGGTAGGGAGGGGCCCAGGATTGGCTAGGATGGTCAGAGGAAACTTCTAATCTCTCAATAATGTTTTCATTTTTCACAAGGAGGATATATTTATAATTATTTGTATAATTTAAGAATAAGTTTAAAATAAAAAAAAAGAAGGGCGCCACGGGATAAAATGTTGGGGAGCAGGAAGAAAGGGGCAGCGAAGGGGCGGGGCTGCCATCGCCCAGGCAACGTAGGCCGCGCCAAACTATTGGCTGGCCTTCAGCCGCGTCATCCTCCGCCGCTGCGCGGCGCCGCCTCGGAACCCCGGGGGCGCGGCCTCCGCGAGTGGCTCGGCCCCGCCCGCCCTGAAAGCGGGGTGAGGAGGCGCGTGCCCCCCAGTCTTGCTCCGCGATGGGGTCCAGGCTTGGTATAAAGGGATCACAGAGAGCAATGCTGACGATCTTGGAGCGAGGACAATAGCTGAGTTGAAGGAAATAGTTTTGAGGTCCCCGCCACCCTCCACCCTAGAACGCGGCCCCGCCCCCTGGCCGGTCGGAATCCTTTAAATGGTCCGGGCGCAAGGGAGGGGAGGGCGGGTCGGACGTCTCCTGGAGACGGGCGGGTGGCTCCGCCCAGCCAATCTGCGCCCCGCGGCGGGCAGGATTCCAGCCAATCGCGGCTCGCGGCTCGGCTCCGGGGCGGAGCTGGGGGAGCGGAGGCCAGACAGAGAGGCCCCGGAGGTGAACGAGGCCCCTACCCAGCCCTGGGGGGTCGCGAAGCTACGGACATTGCAGGAGGTGGTCATCGGGAATCTGGCAGCTGAGGTGAGGGGTGGCTGCCCGGCTGGAGATCTGCCTTGGGTCGGGGGAAGTGGAGGCGCGCCCCGAGAGCTGTGGAGGCGGGGTCTGGGCGGGAGTGGGGGGGCGCAGATTAAGGGTGATGATAGGGTTTCAAGGGTTTGGGGACCGGAGACCGAGTTCGAGATCTTGGACGGGAGGCGAAGTTGTTGGAGCAGGGTCCTCGAGTAGAGGGAGTTTGAAGCTGGGGTGTTTGGAGAAGCGAGAGAACCAGGGAAGGAACTTTTTTGGGGCAGGGAATCTGGAGATAGTACAATTCAGGTCTCCCGGACGGCTTGAATTCGGGGCTCTCGTGTTCTGGAAAAGGTCTGAGGGCTTGGGGCTGGGGTCCCGGGCATTTGGAGAAGTGAGAGAACTAGCGGCAAGGAATCTTGGTCTCCCAGGCGCAGTCGCGGAGCGGGAGTGCCGGGAAGAGTTCCACGTTCAGGTCTTGGAGGGGGAGTTAGTGGAAGTGAAGTCCAGAGGCGTTTGAAAGATGGGAGAATAAGGGAGAGGTAACAGGGGAAGATCTCAAAATTGAGATACCTAGTCTCCCGAACGGAGAGAATCGGAGAGCATTTGTAGTCTTGAGCGATGTGTTGGGGCCTGGGTCTCTGGACCCCAGAGCAGTTTGCGGGTAGAATCCAGGACCTCTGGGGTCCGAAGGACAGGCAGAAAGCAGTTTTAGAGCCGCACTCGGGTGGGGGAGGGGTGTTCCGGGCGTGGAGCTCAGACCCGCCGCCCTGGAGGCAGCGGAGGGCGGGGCTCGGCAGGCGCCCGGCAGCTGGACGTCCGGGTTCCCTTCCCCCACCCACCGCGGGCCCCTGTGCGCATGCCCTGAGGGAGGGCGGGAGGTTCGTCCCTGTGGCGTGCCGAGCCGCCTGGGGATTGTAGTGCACGTTCCACGTCAGTGCACGTACCTGGCGGCTATTGGCCCACATTTCCCAGAAACCCCTGGGCCAAATTGAGGCGGGACTGGATGCGGAATGAAGACCCGCGAAGGGGCGGGGCCTATAGAGGGCCGAGGTCTGGTTGGATGAGTCGGGAGGGGGCGGGGCTTGGTGTGAGTCGCGTTCTAGCAAGTGTCCCTGGCGGGTGCGCTTTTGGGGAAGCTTAAGGCGCGGACGGAGGGAACGAGGGCCGTCCCTTTCCTACTGCTGGGAGCGCTCTCAGGAAGAGGGCATGAACTGAAACATCCTCCCTGCGAAAGAAGAGTCTCGACAAATAGGTGCCCTAAGAGGGCTCTAAGTGGCTCGAATATAGTAGACGCTCCAATAAAGATATTGAATAAATGGCAGTTAATTCCTGTTCATTAAGTGTTTCCTGTATGGTGGGCCCTGTGCATGTTACACGTGGGATCTCCTTGGCGATGTGGTGAGAATTTTTGCAATCCCCATTTTATAGATGAGGAAACTGAGGCCCAGGGAGGTAATGTCACATCACTTCCCAAGATCACATGGCTGAGCAGCGTGAAAGGTAGAATTCTAACCCAGGATTCCCTACTTCTGGTCCACGTCTCTGTACTCCACACCTGTCGTGTGTGGGTCACATTTGAAGAAATGAGTATTGTGGAAAGAACAGTTTTAAGACTCAGAGGGATTTAACTTAGGATTCTCATCTTGCAAATGAGGAAATTAAGTCTCAAAGAGGTAAAACACCCATACAGGAGATTCTGGATTTGAACTAGCCCTGCTATGTCTGACTTGCTCTTCTCTCTGTAGGGCATCATGGTAGGAGGCTTAAAGAGGAAACGCTCAGATTTGGAGGAGGATGAGAAGTGGGACTGGGGTCCGGCAGGCCTCCGGAGCTACCAGCAAGCCCTGCTCCGCATCTCCCTAGACAAGGTCCAGAGAAGCCTGGGCCCCCGAGCACCCAGCCTCCGCAGGCATGTCCTCATCCAGAACACGCTCCAGCAGCTCCAGGCGGCGCTGTGCCTGGCGCCGGCACCAGCTCTGCCCCCTGAGCCCCTCTTCCTGGGCGAGGAGGACTTCTCCCTGTCAGCCACCATCGGCTCTATTCTCAGGGAGCTGGAGACCTCCATGGACGAGACGGAGCCCCCTCAGAATCCAGTGGCTCCCGTGGGCCCCCAGAATGAAGTGCTACCCCAGCCCGATCCAGTCTTTTTAGAAGCTCTAAGCTCCCGGTACCTGGGGGACTCTGGTCTGGATGACTTCTTTCTGGACATCGACACGTCCACAGTGGAGAAGGAGCCAGCGCTGGCCCCACCGGAGCCTCCTCACAGCCTCTTCTGTGCCCCCGGGTCCTGGGAGTGGAATGAACTAGATCACATCATGGAAATTATTCTGGGCTCCTAAAACTGATGAGCGGGCTCCTTCGTCATCTCAGCCTCGGTGGGCTGGATCCCTGGATGCAACTGTGTGTGTGTGTGTGTGTGTGTGTGTGTGTGTGTGTGTGTGTGTGTGTGTGTGTGTTTTGGTGGAGGCTCTAAGCAGTGTCTGGCCTCCTTTCCTCCCATTTCAGGGTTCCACAAACCGTCTTGCATGTGTGTGTGTGTCTGGTAACTGCAGCCTTCTGTGAAGGTGGGTCCTCCTGAATTAATTTATCTGTTCCAAATGCCTTAATGAGACTCTGTTTCTGGGAGTCTGATTTCCCACTTCCACATTTCTTCTGCCTCTCCCTCCAGACCACTGGGGCCTCAGGGAAGATAAACTGGGCCTGTTCAAGGATGGCAGGGATGTGCTGCCTGGTTGCTATGGAAACCCAGGCTCTGCCTCTTGCTCCTAGAGGGAGCCAGAGGGGCTGGCTGCCTCCCCCTAGGCTGAACCCCACCTCCTTGGCAGGACCCCAGTCCCAGCAGCCTCCTGATTTATAACGAGGCCGGACCACGTGCAATAGGGTGGAAACAAACTGCTCCATGCCGCGTTATTTAAAAGAAAGGCGGGTTTCGTGGTGGTTTTTTTGTTGTTTGTTTTTGGATTGTTTGTAATGATTTTTTTTTTTAATAAAAGTATTTTGGAAGGGATAGTGTTGCCTAAAGTTTCTAAACTTCGGCGGAGCAATGGGAGGGACCTGCTAAGTTCCGGGCAGGTACATCATCAAACATAACATTTATTGAGGGCTTGTTAAGAGTGCTGTTCTACCCACTTTATTTGAGTTGTCATTTAATCCTCATGATTACGCAGAAGTAGATACCGTTATCACATTTTACATAGAAAGAGCCTGAGGTTCAGAGAGGCCATGTCACTTCCTCAGGGTCACACAGCTAGGAAAAGCCCGGACCAGGGAGCTAGGATTCAAACAGTCTGCCTCCAGAGCCTTGTTCTAACTATTGTATTTGTTGCTGCTTCATCGATTTAGACTCCCCAGACATGGGTGGACACAGGAGGGAGAAACTGAGTCACATGAATTATGTGTCACAGGATAGGGTACTTTGGCACTTCAAAGTCAACCCTTTCGTTGTATGAAATATGCTGCTGAGGCCCGAAGGAGAAAGAAAATGCCCAGAGACCCCCAGTAAAAGCAGATCTTTCTAGAAAACTTGGTTAGGAAGCAGAGTCCAGGCTAAAGGTATGGTTCTAATGATTTATTTGGGGAGTGCAAGCCCAGAGTGGTAAGAGTGAGGGGAACAGGGAAGGGAGGCCGGGAAGATGCAATGTGGTACCTCGCTGCACTGGCTACACCTGCACAGACCTTTGAAGACACAGCAGGTGAGGTTACGCAGCAACAGGGACTTTTCTGCAAGGGTGCCAGGGAGGAACTACACCTGGGTGTGGTCCACAGGCAGGGAAAGGGGGGGGATTTTGCCTGTGCATTTTGGCTCAGAGTCAAATTCTCACCCTGAGAGGGCCATTGCATCTGTCCAAAAGCAGTGGGGTGAATTTAACAGGTGAGGGCCAGTCCAGAGGGACAGAGAGGAGGTGGAGGATCTCAAGAAGGCACGTGAGGTCTGCATCTCAATATGGATGCCCATTGGATCGTGTCTTCCTCCTACTTAAAACTTTCAGTGACTTCTCCTCACACTCAGAATAAAACCCTAACTTCACCAAGGCCTGCGACGCCGGGCAATCTTGCTCCTAACTTCCCCAGTTTAATCCCTCCCTCAACTCCAGTCACACTGGTCTCTTTGGACCCCAAGCTCATTTCCACCCCAGGCCCTTTGCACTTGCTGTTAACTGGCCAGAGGACACTTCCCCCATAGCTTCCAATCTAAATGTCCCCTTCTCAGAGAGGTCCTCTCTGCCCTTCCTAGCTCCACATGTCCACATGCACCACCAACCCATCACATTCTGTTTGATTTTCCTAGAAGCACCTATCTAATCTCAAGTTATTTATTACCTGTTTATGGTTAGCCTCCTGGTCTCCTGGAAACTGAGAGGAGGAGTTTTGTTGGTCTTAGTCCAGCTGTATCCCATAAGGCATTGAACCATGCTTGGCACAGGTGGGCACTCAAAAAAATTTTTTTTGCTGTTGTTGAAAAAATGAACTTCCGACCTTGCAAATGGCCAACCCTCCCTCCCACCTCTCTGAACAAATCTCCCCCACACCATTCTCTGCTCTTCCTCAAACACACTGCCATGGCCCAACCTCAAGAGCTGGAGTCACACCTGTCCCACTGAGCGATCGTGCAAAGTGTGTAAGACAGGGCCAGATACACACCAAGAATTCCAATAACTGCTCAAATTTATTGAGAGCCTACTGTGGGCCTCGCACTCTTCCAGGCACATGCATAAAACCGACAGTGCCTGCTCTCATAAAGCATCCTCATGGAGGAGAGCTGAAATAAACACGAAAAAACAAGTAAAATGTACAGTCTGTCAGGTGGTGATAAATACTGCAGAGAAAAAGCAAGCAGGAAAGTGATGGGGGTGTCGCTATTTAGATGAGATGGCCAGAGAAGCCCTTTTGAGAAGGTGACATTTGAGTAAAGACCTGAAGGAGGTGAGAAGTGGGCCCTGTGACTCTGTGGGGTGACGAGCCAGGCAGAAGGAACAGCCAGTGCAAAGGCCCTGAGATCACAGCCTGGGTGGAGTGTTTGAGGGACTATGAGAAGGCCTGTGTGTCTGGATGAGAGTGAGCAAAGAGGAGAGAACTAGGAGATGAGGTGAAAGAGTTGAGGGGGCCAAATCATGCAGGGTCTTGTGGAGTCCCCCAGGGAGGACTTAAGCTTTACACTGAGTGAGATAGAAGCCATGGGAGGGCGTTGCGCAGAGGGACGAGACCTGATTCACTTTTAAACAGACCCTCTTAGACTGCCCTAAAGATGACCAAGGGAAGAGGGATCGTGTAGCTTGTTGCTACCACAGCAAGACCAGCATGAGGAGCACCCCACTTTCCCCATGAACAAACTGAGGCTCAGAGGGGCCCCGCTCCTGCCCTGTTGAAGAACTGGCGAGAGAAGTGGAAAAGCTGGCCCGGCAGAGGGAACCAGGTCCCTAAGGGCAGAGTCCACGTTCCCCAACCTGCCCTCCCCCGCGGGCCCGCCGTGGGGGATGGGCCGCGGCCACCTCGGGGCGTGGCCGGGAGGCTGGGCCCTCCCACCTGCCCACCCTCCCCCTGAGCTGGCCGCTGGCTGGACACCCGGGAGCCGGCCCGGCGCCTCGTCCCTCCCCAGAGGCCGGGTGGGGCGGCCGGCCGGGGGCGGGGCGCTCGCCCTGACCCCACTCCCTCCCTAGCTGGCGGAGGCTCCTCCCCAGCCCTGCTAGGCCCCGTGGCTTCGCTTCTGGTTTCATTTCCCAAGGCCCGGCCTCTCTCCTCCTCCCTTCCCCCAGCCCTTTGAATTCTGGCTCCTTCTTGGCTTTCTGGTCTCAGCTCCAATGCCACCTCCTCGGGGAGGCTCTCCCAGACCACCCTGGCTCCAGGCACCTCTCGCCAGTCCTCTCTATTATCCCGTCCTATTGTATTTTCTTCAAGTCACTAAACAGAAGCAGAAATGCTCTTCCTCATTTATTCATCTTCCGGGGTCTTCTCATCCCATTCAGAATGAAAAACAATGGTCCATAGAGCGCTCAAAGGACCTGAACACAAGCACACGCCCACCTCAGGACCTTTGCACAGCCCATCCCTCTGGCTGGAACACTCTTCCTCCAGAGCTTTCCCACGTCTCTCGTTTCATCGGGTCTCTACTCAATGTCACCTCTTCAGCGAACCCTCCACCACCACCAGCACCCTGTCTGAACTGCACACCCGGGGCTGGCGCAGTGGCGCAGCTGTTGAGTTCACTCGTTCCACTTCAGTGGCCTGGGGTTCGCTGGTTCGTACCCTGAGCACGAACCTACTCACGGGTCATCAAGCCATGCTGAGGCAGAGTCCCACATAGAAGAGCTACAACTCTACAACGATGATGTACGACTATGTACTGGGGCTTTGGGGAGAAAAAAAAAAGAGAGGAAGATTGGCAACAGATGTTAGCGCCCAGCCAATCTTAAAAAAAAAAAAAGATTATTATTATTTAAACTGCACACCCTTTCATTACCCTCCTCCCGCTCTGCTTTATTCTTTTCCTTTGCACTTGTCACCTTCTAAGATACTAAAATTTCTTTGTTAAGTTTATCTTGCACCTCCTCACATCGGGGAGTTTTGTGTATAATTTTACTGGCATATCTTCAGTGCCTAGAACAGTGTGTGACACAGAACAGGCTCAATCCATCAATGTTTGCAAATCAATGAATGCATTTGTTTTCATCTTTTTTTCTCTCTCCACCCCCTCCCCTGATCTGTGAGAAGAGAGCCCAGGTGAGGCTTATCCAGGGCTGTACCCTCATTATGTACAACAGTGCTCACCACATAGTGTGTACTCAATAAATACACGTTATTTGAGTGACTTCTATGAGCTCTTCTTTAGTGTATGACTTGGAGAGAGCCACTTGGAGACTCTGAACTTCCTTTCTCCCAGGCCAAAACGACAGGTTGTGGGGAAATTATGTGAATTTACCTAGTGGGGGCCTGGTTCTAATGAGCACTTCACTCTCTTTTTAGTATGAAAATTTTCAAGCACAGAGAAAAGATGAAAAAAAGTATATATTCTGAGCACTTGAATACCTTCCCACCTAGATTTAATTATTAGCATTTTAAGTTTCCTTTATCTGCATATTTGTATATGTATATTTTTTCTTTTGCTGAACCATTGGAGAGTAAATTGCAGACTTCTCAACCCTACCCCTAGAATGGTAGGCATCTCTTAAGATTAAGGACTGTCACCATAATATTAAGGATACTCACCTACAAACCACAATGCTATTTCACATCTAAGAGAATTAAGAATTCCTTAATATCATCTAATATCCAGTCTATACTCAAATTTCCCCAATTTTTCCAAGAATATCTTTTTTTTTTTTTCTGGTGAGGAAGATTGGCCCTGATCTAACATCTGTTGCCAATCTTCCTCTTTTTGCTTGAGGAAGATTATTGCTGAGCTAACATCTGTGCCAATCTTCCTCTATT